AACCGTTCTCCCGGTAAGACCGTTTTGAACAGGAATTACATTGCTGCAGAACTGACGCAGTTTCGTTTGTTATACATTTGCAAAACAAGCAAAAACTGAAGTATTTATGCAGCTTAATTCTGAAATTTTATTGACAAGTATATAAATAAAATTATCCACTTGAAGATGGCTGGTGGATGGGATTGGTCTAGAGTGAGCTAGTGTCGATTTCGGAATTAACGACGTTAAATAATAATTCAATTCAATTCTTTATTATTTATGTGCCGAGTCAACAGCCGCAAGGCCAGTTACAGACACAGCACAGTGTAGATACAAGTAATTACATTATGGACAATCACAACATAAAGTCAAAGACAAATTACAGGCAAGCTCTCGAGGAAAAACGCATTAATGCAGACAAACAAAAACAAACAATAATAATAATAATTTCAATAACATAACTCAATAATGCAGACAAGTGAACAAACAAATAATAATTCAATTCAATTCAATTCTTTATTATTTTTATTTATGTGCTGAGCCAACAGCCGTAAGGCCAATTATAGACTCAGCACAGTGTATGATAGAAGTAGTTACATACTGGACAAACACAATATAAAGTCAAACAATGATTAAAGGTTAATGTTGGAGGAAAACAAATTAATACATAAATAACANGGTCAACATCTCTGCAAGCAACATTAGCAGCTGCTGCGCATCTAGCAGAGGGACAATTTTTAGATGAGGAACAAACATTGAACAATGCAAAGTCTCTGTTATACCGAGCAGAAACTCGGAGACCAACAATTTCCAGAACAGAAGAGCAGAATTTCTAGCCAAAATAAACATGAATAAGAAAGAGAGCATCAAGGCGATGTCTCCTAGTACGTAAAGTATGCGGTTTTATAATAATAATACTTTTCATGTGTGCGTTTTACGTGTCTGGAGAACTCTGACATCATTAGACAGCAAACCGATATTTTGGGATGATGTTTCCACACATGTTAGTAACAGTAGTTATTAGAATAATAACGCTCTTCGGTAGAAATAAACATCATATCAATAATTATGCGGCTTTTCTATCCAAAACAATCTGCAGTTCACTATTCCATCACTGCCGAAATGCCGCTTACATATTCCTGGTATAAATAAGGCCTTGTAATTACGGTGAGCCGGGAGAGCTCATTCGGTGTAGCGACGGGCTACAGGCTGGACAACCGGGGTTCGATTCCCAGTAGGCGAATCTCCACAGCATCCAGACCGGCTCTGGGGAGCACCTAGCCTCCTATCCAGTGGGTAGAGGGGGCACTATCGCCGGGGGTAAAGCGGCAGGGACCTGACCACTCACCTCCATCTAGTGCCGAGGTGAAGAATGGTGGATCTATATCTCTACTCACCAGGGTCTTTATAGAACAAGGACAACTTTACCTTTTGCTCTTTATCACCTTATACTTTAGCGGCCTCCGTAGTCTAGAGGTAACGTTCCCACCTCATGACTCGTAGTACGCGGGTTCAAATACCCGGCGGAGGTCGTCGAATTTTTAAGGGCGGAAAAATTCAGGGAACAAGTCCTCCGGGAGGGACTTTAAGCTGTGTGTCCCGTGTCGTAACTTTACGGCACGTAAAAGAACCTCATATCCCCAAAGGGGATCACTGAGCCAAATTCCAGGACGTTTCCCGCCCAACAATAGTCTCTAAGGCCTCTGATAGATGGGGGAAGCATTATAGACACCGCTAAGCAAGTGGCCGAACTCGCTTGCTCGGCGGGACTGATGGTACGCACCATTTATCGGTAGGGTATAGAGACTGGTAGAATATCATAGAGGGAAGCACAAT